GAGGGGCCGCGGGTGGCGGTGTGCGCAGAGGAGAGACAGACGTGATTGGGCAGGAGGAGGTGTTGGATGAAGGGGGCGGGTCCGGAGGGGCGGAGACAGACGCGATTGGGTGGGGGGAGGAGCTAGGACAGAGGGACGGGCCGCTCTTGGGGAGGAACCGAACTGATTGGCCTGAAGGAGGTAGGCGGGACTGAGGCTAGGCAAAAAGGGGCTGGGACTTCAACATCGTCTAGCTGGCGGAGGCCGGGCGGGAAATGAGACACACGGATCGGATCTTCCCGAGGGAGCAGAGCGGCGGGGCGGGGCAGGGAAATCAAGAGAACCGACCGCTAATAGTGCCTGGCTGGGCAATACAGGGAAAATGGAGAGGGCGGGGCGAGATATAAGAAAGAGACCTGATTGAACTGAAAAACAGGCATCGGAAGGGACAAGCCATTTAAAGGAGCCTGAGGCCGAGGGGAAGGGAAGCGAAGCCATACGGGTAGAGGCCGCCCTGATTGGACTGAACTGAGAAGGAGGCGGAGAGAACAAAAAGAGGTGGCACGGCTGGACCTCGCGCTCCTCTGCTTGGAAGGGGCGGAGTGGATCTGAAGGGGCAGGGCCTACTATAGAAACAGTTCCCATAGAGTTGGGGAGTGGGTGGGACTGAACTGGAAATGGAGCACTTTCCCGCGGAATGGGACCAGGCTGTACCGAAAGGGGACAGAGGGGAACGAAGACGGAGGACAGTGCAAAGGGGTAGAGACAAGCGAGGCCTGGAGGACTAAAGGAAGAGGACAAAGTAAAGAGGGGACGGGGTCAAGGCTTCAAGCTTGGCCAGGTTAGACGGGGCTGGGCCGGGAGAACGCATGTCCAGACAAATGGGGTGGGAGTGAGGAAGTTGAGTGGGGTCCACAAATGGTAAAAAACATGGTGACTGGACCGTACAGAAAGGCAAGATTAAGGGACCAGTGGAGCTTTGAGATAGGGAAGGGCCAGCAGGGCTAAAACAGGATAGAGGAGCGAGAGGGAGGGGTCACTAGGAAAAAGTGAGACCTCCCGGGCTGGACGGAAGAGAGGAACCTTTAAAGGGAGAGCCTGGGAGAGAGCCTGAGTGAGGGTCAGCAGGGCCTTAGGGTGGGGCGAGAGCTTCCATTTGGTGGGAGAAAGGGGGTGGAGACTAGACAACGGTGGACTGCAGACTGGAGGACCCACGGATGTTGAGGAAGGAGCACGAAGGAAGGCAGAGAGGAGTGCGGAGGCGCTAGGAAGCACCGTGTAGACTGAGACAATAGGTGGGACCAATGGAAAATTGAGCGGGGTTAGAAGAAGCCAGAAGCCGGGAGTAGGATGGATGGAGTTAGGGACAGGGCCACAAGGCGGACCGCCTCGGAGCGAGCCGGCCCCGCCCCCAGGGCTGTCCTAGACCGCGGGAGGCCGGGGGCGGGGGCTGGGGCGGGGCCCGGGGCGGCGGGGGGGGG